AAAAAAATATCCAATAAATCTTAAGATACTATTGGGAAGTTTTGAAATAAATTTACTAATTTAGAATGCAACGATTTATATAAAAAAAATAAGTTGGAGTGTATAAAAATGGAAATGGCGAGAGTCAGGAACCGACATGGCGACATTGGACTTTCATTTGGTATACTGAAACCGTATTCACTCCTATGCAATGACACTAGTCACACAATTGCTCTGATTTTGAATCTATGACGTATTCTATACTCTTTAATTGAATTTTGCAACCTTGGAAGGGACATGCCAATCCTTAATAGGACACATGAACCTACCACGTACCAACCACGCTCAAATCACAATCCAAAATATTTCTGAAGTAAACATAGACCCAGTCATCTCTTAGGCTGCAAGGCACAAGTACCTTTGATTTTTTTACCAGACCATAAAATATACCAAGATCTATAAATGTATCTGTCATTGAAGATAATGAGCTCAAATGTCTGAACCAAAACGCTGAGAGGGTCATAAACTTATTATAGAGATGAATCTGATAGAAAGTTACTGGCTAAGCTACATATAATTAAGCTTCGCTAACGTAATTCTACAACAAACAATAAGTGCGAAAACCCTTCCTTAGAAGAGATCGGCTTTAGGCGATGGGGCATCAATTACCTCAATTTGGATCACAACTTCACCACATTCTACATTTCTTAGTCGAAGGATCATTTCTTGTGTCATTTTACCATTTTCCCAGGCAATGTGGCTCTCAGCTACCAGACAGTTTTCCCTGCTTGGCTGGACACTCTGAACTTTGCTACCATTTGGCAACCCTTTCAAATCCATTTTCATTGCTTCAAGATATGGCTTAACTCTGCATCCCCCATTTTGTCATCTACGGTGAATGTATCCTTGTCATAGAGTGTCTGGAGAACACACATAGTAATCATGGGGTTAACTAATGTCACCTACCACACACACACACACACAAGTATATGTGTGTGTGTGTGTGTGTGAAAACTAAGCCTCCATATAAACAAGTCAAAGACGACAAATTGAATAGTTGGAGAACCACATCATGTTGATTTGAATACTACTCGAAGTAGAAACAAAA